GGCGGGTTGTATGATGTGTGTGAGTTCTGGCACCTTTTTCTTTTTTTAAGAAAAAAAGCACTGCGTATAATCAAGGCCATGCTTTTCTGAATTGCAATGTATGTCTGTGAAAGTTGGACCATAAGAAAGGCTGAGCGCCAAAGAATTGAGGCCTTTGAACTATGGTGATGGAGAAGACTCCTGCGAGTCCCTTGGACTGCAAGGCGTTCAAACCGGTCAGTCCTAGAAGACATCAACCCCGACTGCTCTTTAGAAGGCCAGATCCTGAAGTTGAAACTCAAATACTTTGGACACCTAATGAGAAGGAAGGACTCACTGGAGAAGGGCCTAATGCTGGGAAAGATTGAGGGCAATAGAAGAAGGAGATGACAGAGAATGAGATGGCTGGATGGAGTCACTGAAGCAGTAGGTGTGAACTTAAATGGACTCCAGAAGATGGTAGAGGACAGGAAGGCCTGGAGGAACGTTGTCCATGGGGTCGCGATGGGTCGGACAAGATTTTGCAACTAAAAACAATAAATTAGTAATGCTGAATTGACATATTCTAATCCATTTTTTCCAAGCATTCCCAATAAAGCTAATAGAAAAGAAATTACAGGTAGCCCCTGTTTGGCAACTGATTCATTTAGTATCCATTTGCAGTGGAGACAGTGGTGAAAAAATTATTTCGCAACCAGTAACTTTGCGAACAGTCTTTTCATTTACAACCTTTGCAGGTTTTGTGTTTTCACTCAGTGACCACTTTATTTAACAACCGAGTTGTAAGTCCTAATTGTGGTAACTGAATAAGGACTATCTGTTTTTTAATTTCTAAGGAAAGAGAACTTCTTTCCTTGTTTTTTTTAAAAAATATATCAAAAGCAGGGACAGTCTGGAAGTTTAAAAAAAAAAGGGTAAACAAAGTGCAAACTCTTTGGTTATCTTGCAGGTATAAAATGAGTCCCCAAACTGTCCCAAAATAAATTCTAAGGTAGTCTGAGAACGAGGTAGAAAAGAAACAGAAGTTTCTTTTGCAGGAACAAATGGGACAAGGATTGAAGGGCATGGGTTTTTGTTTTTTGTTTTTTTGCATAGCCTCAATTATATTCATATATGTAATGCTAAACTTGCGAGTTTTAAAGAAAAGGAAAGGAATTTGAAATCCGTTTAACGTTAATCATTTTCTCATTGGGCTGATGTTTCAGTGTAAGGGTCCTCCCATTGTCAAGATATTACAATAGCCTGTTCTTAGAATAATCAAGTCTTCAAAACCAGCATTTGTCACCTATACAAATATTTTCAGTACAGACATTTTGCCACTGCGATTATTCAAAGTATTATCAATATTTGCATTGGTATTATCAATAATATTGATAATGTTATCAAAATTCAAAGTATAACCAGTATTTCTAATGTATATTCTTTAAAGCATAACTGAAGAAAAGATAGAGTTTGGACATGATGGAAAGAAGAATGATTACCCAGGAGAGAGAGGAATGGAGCTGGGCACTGAATGACATTGATGTAAATAAAATCTAGCTGTATTTTCTTTTTCTTATTTTAGTCCTAATTTCTTTTGCATGTTATCACTTCCCCTTTTCCCATATTATGTAACATGTCGCATACTCCAATATGCATTGGGCGTAAGGCAATGGGTATGTGTGTTAGAATGTGTCAAAATGAAGCACAGATTCCTTGGCGTAAACCAGCCTCTATCACAACTTCCTGGCTTCCAAACTCACTGGGGTTCCCAAGTGTCCAGAGGGCTATTATATTGGAGGAAGGCTGATTTGAGGATTGGATCAAGCCTACAAAGAAGTTAGCAACACTATCCAAATAGTTGCGGGGATGGGATGAGGGTGAAGCACGAGAGAGAAGCAAATTTAGAGAATTAAGCATTCAAGCCTAAAAACCCATTCAAAAGGAATAAGGTTGGTGTCAGATTGTTCATTTGTTCTTTGTTAGATGGAGCCTTCATTTTTCCTCCAGAGTTCAAGGCAAGATATAGAACAGTCTGGCCTTCACTTTTTCTACAACAAGCCTGTGAGGTTGGACTGAGAGATAATAATAAAGCCATTCAGGCTCTAATCCACTATCAATAAAAATTTCATCTGTGGGGATGGGGTATATTTCTCTATCACAATGAAAGAGAAATCAGAGCCATTGTCCATGTCGTGTTTTTTAACATTTAGGCAATGAAATTTCATTTTGCTACTTACGCATTCTAGTTACTTTGAGTATGTTGAGCCAAAGTGAGAACTAGTTTGGTGTAATGGTTAAGGAATTGGGCTAGAAACTGGGAGACTGGGAGTTCTAGTCCTGCCTTAGGTACAAAGCCAGCTTGGTAACCTTGGGCCAATCACTCTCTTAGCCCTAGGAAAGAGGCAAGAGCAAACCATTCTAAAGAAAACTGTTGGGACATGTAAGGCTGGTGCCAGGAGTCAACATTGTCTCAAAGACACGAAACAAGCAAAAAAAATAATGAAATTGGAATATATTGAAATGTTACCAAATTCCTTCTGGTGCTATCAGATTCCTGATTGTTGGCTCCCATAGACTAACACAGCTCTCTTCCTGCAATGATTGCAATTTGATTTCTATGTAACTATATTCCACAGTGTTTTGGATGTTTCCTTTAGGGCAGGGGTCTTCAAACTTGGGCCTTTTATGACTTGTGGACTTCAGCCAGGCACAGGAATTCTGGGAGTTGAAGTCCACAAGTCATAAACGGGCCAAGTTTGAAGACCCCCTGCTTTAGGGCTTCTAAATGGGGACTCCCAGCACTAATCATGAAAAACCTTTGTGCTAGTATTCTGTTTTCTCTTTCTTATCTCTCTCTCTTTCCTTCCCTCCCTCTCTGTGAAGTGGTAAGAAAGCATGGGAAGTTCACCAAAGGAAGACCATAATGCCTGCATGTCTCCCTTTCTAAGGTTTTGTAAATAAGGTAGGGTGATTAAAGAAGAGCAATCAGACTCTCAAAAGTCTTTCCCCCCCCCCTTTCATTTATCTCCTAGAGGATCAAGGTTAGGACAGGACATTTAACTGCTTGATGGCACCCCTTCTCAATTCACACATAGAAGCTGATCAAGGCAACAAGCTTTTTTAGGCTTGTTTTCTGATACAGCTGGACAACTCAAATGAGCCCTGTGACCTTAGCCTGAAATCCTAGGTAAGGTCTTCCCTTTAGCAAAGGCCTGTCTGATTAATTTTCCTTCTCTTGGGAGATAAATCTCATTCCTCGGAATGCCATTTGTAATTTTTTCATCAGAATCATTGAAATTCTATCATAACTTCTAAGGCACTCTTAGAAAGCCATATAGAAATCTCATTATCTCTCTGTCTCTCTCTTCCCCCCCCCCCCCCGCCGCCTCCTCCTCCTCGTTTGGCAGTTCTAGGCAAAAACAGATGGAGCTGCAAGCGTTTCTCCAGGTATGGGAATTTGAAAGCAAGGGCCATCTATCTATTTCCTAGGGATATACAGAAAAGCCAAAGAAAGAGCTTGGCAAGTCACAACAATAGTATTGCCCCCTGCTGGAAAAGCTGCCTTTGGTGCGGTTTTAGCGGCACCAGTCACCACTAAGGATTGAGAAGCTGCAGAATAATTGGGTCCTCTGTGTGTGTGTGTGTGTGTGTGTGTGTGTGTGTGTGTGTGTGTGTGTGTGTGTGTGTGCGCGCGTGCATTTGGACGGCGCCTGTTGGGGAGGGGGAAAAAAAAGTCCTTTTCTCTAAAGTGGTGCCCTCCGGATTTGTTGAACTAGCACTCCCATCATTCTTAACCGGCAGAGTCAAAGAAAAAGCTCAGTCGGGAAAGACCCTCCATCCTAACGTTTCCGTGGCAGAGGCAGCCTTAAACCGAAGAGAGCAATTGAACAGTTTTATCTCAGGGTCAATGCCGCCCGCCCGCCCGCCGCCCGCCCTTTCCCCGGACCGGACCGGCTCCTTTTCCCGCAAAGCCACCCGGCAGCCTCAGCTACGTAGCTCCTTCTCTTCCGACGCGCGGATTCCCGGTGCAAAAACGCCAGAGAAACGACGGCGCGTCGGGTTTGGCATAACAAACAGCGGAGCAGTCCGGCAAAGGTTGGCGCCGCGCCGGTGGACGACAGTACCAGCCAGGAAGAGACCCAACCAGGGGAAGACGGCGGGGTGGGGGAAGGGAGGGGGGTTGTCCAGAGAAGAGAAAAGAGACCGGAAGAGAAGTTGGCTCCAAAGACCGCTGAGCTCCCTCCAGACTAGCGGACTGGTCTTCTCTGTAGGGCGGCCATCCAACAGGGCTCTCCTCTGGGGTGCGAGCGGAACCCCACTCCCCAGCGCCCACAAGGCATTAAGGGAGACTTTGGGGGCGGGGGGGGGGAAGCGCCCAGGAGCCGATTCCCTCCAGTCTCTCTGATTCCCCCCTCCCTCCCCCTCCCTCCCTTCTAAGAAAGAAGCACAAGCAAAAGCCGAAAAGATTGGGAACCGGAGCCGAAGGCAAGGAAAGGCACAAAGGAAAAATGGGAAGTGGTATGTGTGTGTGTGGGGGGGGGGGATTGGAGGATAGGAATCCGCCTTTCTCCCGACATCCATCTAGTACTGTAAAAAGAGGCACGGAATGGGGACCTCAGCCCACCGCAACCCAGCCAGCCCTCCCGAGCGCTTCGCCCGTCGAGAGGTTCCCCATTTCACTTTACTCTCTGCGGCTGGGATGGCCGCGAACGGTTTCTTTTCATCGCCCGCTTTCCCTGCTTTGAGGGTCTTTTAAAGAAGCGGCGGCGTACAAATCTTTGGAGCAAAGGGCCTCTGGAAAACTCAAGACTTTCTTTTTTCCGCGGGGGGAGGGGAAATAGCCCTCCGGGGGTCGGCCTAATTGCCCTTGGAGAAATCTTTGGCATTCCCAGCGACCGCTCCCTGATTCCAGGAGCGACTGGATGATCCTGGACGGGTCAAAGGGAGTCGCGCGGAGGAGACCTTGTCACCCTGGACCTCGCCCGCGCCCTTCTCGAGCCCTCCGGGGCTTTCCCGGCCCGGCCGCGGAGCCTCCTTACCTGCGTGGCTCATCTTCCGAAGTCTCCCCCACCTCGGCAGTCGCGCTCTCCCCCCCCCTCTTTTTCGCACCCGAAGCTTTCAAATCATATTCGCAGCTTCCACGCTTTTGGGTGGCTCCCTCCGCGGAGCCCCCGGGCAGCTAAAGTTCAGGTCGGGGCATGGATGGATCGGAAAGGGGCGGGGAAGAATCCGCTCAGCAAGTTGCCCCGGGAGAGAGAAAGAGCGAGAGCGCGCGCGGCGGCAGCAGCAGCAGCAGCAGCAGCAGCGACCCTTCTCCCAAAGTGTCCAGCACCCTTTCGGGCTGAAAAGAGGGCAAGGAGCTCGGCGGCTGGCTACAGCCCGGACGGCAGCAATGTCGGACGCTCAGTGCCGCGGACAGTTGCCGTCGCCTTGGCCCATCGCCGCTATCAGCTTGTTGCAACTGGAAGGTCCCTGCCAGTCGCTGATCGCCGAGCGCTGCCCAGGGAAGCTGCTGCTGCTCTCCTCCTCCTCCTCCTCCTCCTCTCCTCCTCCTCCTCCTCCGGCCGACAAGCATTTTCCTTCCTTCGCTGCAGAGGAAGCCCTTTTGCTCACGCAGGGACTGAAAAGCAGCAGCGAAAGGGGTGGGGGTGAGGGGGAAGCTAGCGCCAACGCCAAAAACAAGCCAGAGATTTAAAGAGACCGCGGCTGCCGCTTCCCCCCCCCCAGGTTTAGAAAGCCACGGGTGGAAACGAAGAAAACAAATAATATACCTCCTCTCCCCCCCCCCCACGGCTCCCTACCCATTGCCAATATGACCACAGAAATTGAACGCAAGTGTAATCGAACGCAAGACGTTGAAAGCAGGTCTAATCTCGTGCGCGCCTCCTGCTGAGGTCGTACAGTGGGACTCCGGGCAACAAGGCTGCTTTGCTGTTATCAGGGCTGCTGACCCGCCCCGTCGCAAGATTAAGGCGATGCGGTTGAAGTTCAGCAAGAGCCCCAAACGCAGCCCCATCCTAAAACGTTCCCCTCCCTTTGCCTACTGGCGCCGCTATTTCTGGGGGCAACGGTCCGTTTGAGCCCACTCGCGCGCCCCTGTCTTTCCCTGCACAGGCGCAACCCTGAAAGCTACAGCAGAGGCAGCGACCGGAGCGTGGCTGCCTTTGATCCCCTTGGCAAGGCTTCACGACCTCAGTGCAGCAAGCTCAGTCCAGGGCCTCTCGGATCTGGAGCTTTCATTGATTGGGAGGGCGATCCCCCCCCTGAGGAGACCCCCTTCTCCTCTGGTGTTTAGGAAGGATCCAGACCCCCATCGCCTTCTTTTTGCGCGTTGGCGCGCTCCCTTCGAAAACTTTCGCCCTAAGACACTTAGGGCGGGCCGGCTCCCCTTAACACCTCTACAACCAACCCCAGTCCTTGCGGCATAAGTGGACTTAGAGAGAGAGATTTACTGCCAGGTCGACGCGCAAAGACCGGCATCCTGGAGTCCCAACCTGCATCCGACGACGTAAGAGCTCTGCGCTAGGGGTCTAGTCGCTGGAAAAGGGCTGGCAGCTGGTGCAGAGGAAACTTCCAGGGAGCAGAGCAGAGAAGTTGAAGGCGAGAAACCCGCTCTCCCCGTCGGCGCGCAGAGGAAAAAGGACCGGCCGCTGTTATCCTGCTTCCAGGCGGGCGAACAATGTGGACCGGGCCCTGTCAGCGGAGGGAGTTTACCTGGAAAGAGACTGCAAGGTCAGCTCCTGGCTGAAAATGTGGTGTGAAGTGAATCAGTTCCTCCCGGCGGGAATACCGTCCTTCTACCCCCATCAAGCCTCAGGCTGAGAAGAGGCAAGAAGCCTTTGAATTCCGAGTTGGGGTTAACTCGCCCTTCCCCCTTCGCTCCAGCCCCGCTCTTTCCCAACTCAGGAAAGATGACACAATTTCCTCACCCGGCAGCTCCATTGATAATACCTGGCAGTCTGCTGTGCTGCAGTCACTGTGGCCCATTTTACAGCCAGACGAATGAAGGTTAGATAAATATGAAGGGTCTGGGGAAAGGAATCCCACTGCAGTTGAGTTGCTGAGGGAGTTGCTTGTGAGAAGGCACCTATTGCACTGCACAGATGTCCTCATCAGAATCTGACAGAATGACAGACTCGGAAGGGACCTTGGAGGTCTTCTAGTCCAACCCCCTGTTCAAGCAGGAAGCCCTATACCATTTCAGACAAAGGGTTGTCCCATCTTTTCTTAAAAACTTCCAGTGTTGGATCATTCACAACTTCTGAAAGCAAGTTGTTCCACTGATTAATGGAACTCTTCTCTTCTTGTTTACCCAAGTTTACCCTTAGTCACACTCAAGGACCAGTATAAACATTTGTAGGTGAAGCAAAGGAGTAATGAGGAAAACATAATCCATTGTTGGATCTGATTACAGGGATCCTGAGAATAATTCTTTACCGGCTAATTGCTCACTTAGATTAACTGCCCATCTAAGTTAATATGGGAATAATAATGCAGCAAAATTTATTAGAGTAAAAGTCCTCTAGAGTAAGTGTCTAGACTTTACAGAAGTGGCTGTTAATATGGTCCATGCTGGACCATAGGAAATTAAGACATTTTCCAGTGCAACTGCACTTTAATTTTGGTTGCTAGATTTTATATCTTCAGATAGCCTATCTAATATTGTTTCCTCCACATTTTTTCCCATGGGGATCTTCTGAGGTGGGTTTAACTAGAGAAGGATGTCTGGGTGAAGACCACTCACTTAGGACCTGGGACTTTCCAATCTTGACCTGACCAATCTTAATCTCAATCAGAATAGAGCTGGAAGGGACCTTGGAGATCTTTTAGTCCAACCCCCAGCTCAAGAGGATACCTTATACCATTTCAGACAAATGATTGTCCAGTCTCTTCTTTAAAAACCTCCAGTGATGAAGCATCCACAATTTCTGAAGGCAAGCAGTTCCACTGGTTAATTGTCTTCACTGTTAAGAAGTTTCTCCTTAGTTCAGGTTGCTTCTCTCCTTGATTAGTTTCCATCCATTGTTTCTTGTCTTGCCTTCTGGTGCTTTGGAAAATAAGTTGACCCCCTCCTCTTTGTGGCAGCCTCTCAAATACAGGAATACTGCTATCATGTCCCCCTTAGTCCTTTTCTCTATACAAGCCAAACCCAAATCCTGCAAATGTTCTTCATATGTTTTAGTCTCCAGGCCTTTAATCATCTTACTTGCTCTTCGGTGCAGTTTTTCCAAAGTCTCAACATCTTTTTTTTGCAATGTGGTGACCAAGACTGGATGCGGTATTCCAGGTGGGGCCTTTCTAAGACTTTATAAAGTGCTATTTTATACCACGTAGACCAGACTATAATTTTTGTAACTGAAAGATGGGTGGTCAGAAATACGTTAAGGATTTGGTTACTCTGGAGTATCGTTCAGCCTATGATCCAAGACTCTTCTATTCTCCTAAATGTATTTATGCCCCACCATCAACTAAATCGGTTCTTCCAAAATAATTTCCCAGGATATCTAATGAAAATCAACACTTTTGCTTAATTGTACAATAATTCCATATCACAATTCTAGTGCGACAGGTTCACATTTCCTTGCTGTTTGTTTTTCTAAAGGATGCATTTCTATCAGCATATTCATTACAATTTTGATCACTAAGTAAAAGTGGTGGTAATAGCTTAGGAATCTAGTGCATATAATTTCCACTGCGATTAATAATAAATTATGCAGAAATGTCCCTCTTGTGTGCCCACATCAGTATAAAAATAAAGCTTTCTTTCTAAAAAGTGCTTGATATACACTTTGGAAGTTACATTCCATTTTCCTAACCGGATGTGACAAATTCCCTAGCTGCTATTCAAGGATTGTTGGCCATATTTTTTGTCATTGTTCAATATTTTTAGTGGTTTCTGTCTTACCTATTTGTCTGTAGCATCCCTGAACTATGGCTTATGCAATCTTATGAGTATTTGTACAGGATAATATGTGTATGTTTGTTTGTATGTATGTATGCATATGTGTGCATACATATACATTATACATATACACACAGTCACATAAGCACCCATCAAAATGCTGGGTTTCAGAATAGTTACAAGAATGAAAGGCTGTGGATTGAAAAGGGGTCAAACCATATTTGACCTGAATAATGTTCTTCTTTTTTTTTTTGCAAGTTTTTGTTTATTGGTTTTATGATTATCTGCAGTTCTAAAGTTTCACCCTGACTGACTTTGGACAGGCAATTCAACAATGCACAGCTCTTAAGGGATCTGCACAGGACAAAAAGATGGACCTACTGATAACTGAATTAATGTCTATAAACTGTGAGCTGTGCGAATATGGGAATAGGACTATTAAAATGGATGAAATTGCCAAGCATAGTCATCAATTCTTTAAAAAAGGAAATACTGAGGATAGGTATTAGGGCTGTCATCCTTTGCTACTCAAATAATGTAAGAATGTTCAACAGACACAAGAGAACTGAAATCATGTGGGTAAGCTCCAACAGCCGACTCCAGACTGGAGCCCTTCCAGATGCATTGCAAGCCAAGTATATCCTGAAGATACAAAGTCAGGGAACACTAAAGGAAAGCAACGTTTCTTACACATCATCTGGCTTCTAGCACAGTTCTAGGCAACCTCATGATCTTTTCAACTGGAATTTGCTTCTGGCACATTGAGGCTCCTTTGATCATGCAAACATGACAGAAGGGGTTCACAGGGGCCTAATATTTTCTTGCTGTCGGCAAACAAAATCCAAAACCAAGTCAGCTCTGGAAACAGAGAATCTCTCTCTCTCTCTTTCATTTTTATCCATTGTGACCAGATAGGAGGGTCTGTGTGTGTTTCATCTGCAGTGTTACTGTACTGTCCTCAGTGGTTCATTTTTTTTTAAAAAAAAAAATTCTTTTAAGATAGGACACACACCCCTCTCTGACTTGGGCTTCCCTGATTGTATGCTTTCAAGGCACAGGGTTTTAAGCATCTTCCCATTCAACTGAGCTGTTGAATGCAACCAGAAAAGTAGTCAGTAAGTCAAAAGAACTAAACTAAAGCTAAGCCAGCCCTGGTTTAGGCTCTCCACTCAAAAGCAAAAGTCAGGATCTTGACAGGAAAGGGCTGGTATATCAGGAAGTTCCATCAGACAATTAAAGTTTCAGATCCATGGATAGAAACTGCTCGAATAATAAGCTAAGCAATGTTTTATATTGGAAATTTATAGCTACTTTCCCCTTAGTCAGTTGATAATAATAACCCAGCTGGTAATTCCCTGATCTGCCTGCAAGATATCCATATATTTTGAAGCACATTTGTAAATAAAAATATATAGGTGTTCCTGGGTTCATGTTTTTTGCTTGCCAGCAATACATCATAGGTCTGACAGTAATGTTTTGCTTTATTCTGATGTTTTTCTCCCAACTTCCCAGATTAGCCTAGAGACCTATGATGGCTATACAAGTACTAACTAGCTCAATATTTATTGAGCCTGCAAGCTCAGAAAAGGTTAGCTGAGTACTTTTCAACAGGTCATTTATTTTTCTTTCTTTC